GCTATGTCGCAGAGCTCCTCGCAAAAGTTTACACGATTTGGCGGCTGATTGGGATCGCGGCTCTTGGCCTTCTCCTGTGTCGCTGCATCTTTAGTAGCATACTGGTCAAAGGTCTGACGGAATGTGGATTCCAAGTACTTGGCGCGTGCTTCGATGGCATCCCATGCGGGATCCGTATTACGCAACCGGTCGCCAATCGCTGTGCCGCTCTGCTGCAGCTCCAGGCTAGTAAGCGCTTTGATTAGCTTCTTTTGTTGCTCTACGCTCTGGGGCATCTTTACCACCTTCTCGTGCAGTTGTCTACGGATCAATAATATGCGCTGATCCACCTCCTCGAGCACTTGACGGAAGATGGCCAGTTCCGTTTTCCCAAACAAATTCTTGGCACGCGAATAGTCATTGACCACAATGTCATATTCCCCAGCCTTGGCTCGCCGATCCACGCTGTTGGGCAAGCAGAACAGAAACTTGTGACGTGACAGAGCGAAGAGTACCGACCGTGTGGAGTCTGCCTTCTCCTTTCGCACCAGCACATCAGTGAAAATCTTTTGCGATTCACTGATAGAGTCTGCAAACGATAAGTAGAAGTAGCTATATAGATGATTTTTATATGCATTAACTACTCACTCTCAATGGACTGCTCGAGTACTTTAAAAGGTTCTTTGCCATACAGTTTGACATCCTCTTGGAATTTATCGCGTATGTTCATTAGCGTGTCCAGCTGATCGATCACCGAGCCCGCGTTTGATTTCAAAAAAGAGAGTTGCCCCTCTTTCTGGCTCTCGACCTTACGCTTTAGGTATGACAGACCCGCCTTTAAGTCCTCAAATGAAGTGGCCAGATGATTCTCGAGCAAAAACCAAGCGGGTGAGAAATTTTCCTGAGACAAATCGCCACAAGCATCGGGAAACAAATCGCGTAGGTCTTCTGGAATTTTTTGTTCATTCCCCTCAATGGATAGCCCCAAAGGATCTTCCTGGGTCAGACCCGATTGAGTAAGAGTGCGTCGACCCCAGGCAAAGTTTTGCGACGGCGATTCCTCTATCCACACAGCCGACTCTTTAAGGGGTCCAATTGTCTCATGGTACGCTCGAAATTGAACCGTAGATGTCCCCACGCCTCCGCTGATGGTAGTGACTATAATATCACCCTTACCCTTGGCTGGGCCAGTGCGTGCAATTATTTTATTCGGTGATTTCCACTCTGCTGACAGCAGACAGTCGGATCCACAGATTTTAAGACCTGAATATGCGTTGAAATAGTATGAGAAAAAGAAACAAACGCCGATGACCAATGTTTTATTTACCAATGAGATCCTGCGCACGACACCCCAGAAATTCGCCACGAATGATGACGCGGGTACCGGGCGGACCTTCCTTAGGTGATAGTCCCGTTACCACCGGCTGCGGGGCCATCACGTACAAAATAAATAATAATAATAATGAATGAACAACGCCTACAAAATTGCAGCCGGATCAACAAACTCGATGCTTTTTCGATAAGCGTGCAGTGTTTACACACCATTCTATTATGCTATCGGCAGTGTATGCACACGCACAGCTGATTCATAACTAAGCCGAACAAACAGCTGTTTATTTACTTCGGCGTTGATTACAAGAGGAAAATGGATGACGTCGCCAGCGCGCAAAGCGAAAATGAAAATTTGCGTAAAATTCGTAATCGTTTGATGAAATGGGAGTCCCAGAACGATCCACTGGCAGCGCTAAGCGCACAGCAGGAGGAACATTTGGAGGTGCTCAGCAATTTGTGGAACGACGACGAAACGATGGTAAGCTGCAAACCCATTAGACACGCAGGCCAAAACAAATGTATGGGTATTGACTTTTTTACTTATTCGCTGACAGGTGACATCGGGGTACACGCGCACCGAAGTGTACACCCCAGTGGAGGATAAGACCGAAGTGGAAAAGCAGCTACCCCCAGATGGGCTGCAGAATATGAGTGATTTTCTGCTCTGGTTTGTGAACGTCAACGCGGAGATCGAGCTACGTGGCGATGCAAACTATCACAAGTATTTGCAGCAGCTGCAGCAACGCAAGGCGGAATGTGCTCACATGCTCGAGCAAATCTCTGTGGCCATGGATAGACTGAGTGCGTTGAGCTCTGAGTACGAATTTGTCTCGCAAAAAACCAGCGCGCTGAACATGGCCAGCGAGCAGTTGATTGACGAACAGCAGAAGCTCCAAGAACTCAGCAATGAAATTCAGCGACGTTTGCATTTCTTCAGCCAAGTGGAGCTGCTCAATCAGCGCCTGCAAAGTCCCACTTTGTCCGTGGCGAGCGAAGCTTTCCGAGAATGCCTCAACAAAATTGATGAATGCCTGAATTATCTAGCAGAGCATGTAAGTAGACTCCTCTCCTAGTTTATTTGACCAACCAATAATTGTGATTTGTTGCAGCCTAATTTCAAGGATGCAACTGCCTTCAATGTAAAGTATAAGCAATGCCTGGGCAAGGCTACGGCTCTGGTGCGTAACTATGTTGTAAATGTCATTAATCAAGCGACGGAGGCGACTTTACATCCACGCAATAACAGCAACGATGCCTCGCTACAAGCACCCGATGCTGCGTTCGCCCTTTACTATGGCAAATATCAAACAGCTGCCGCTAAAGTGAAGCGTGTAGCACAGCTTATCGAGTCACGGTTGGAGAACAGCAACAACAGCGAGTATAACCAGCTAATGACAGATTTGCAGCAGCATTATTTGGCACAGCGTGCGAGTGTGATGTCACCAGCTGTCAACCAATCTATACAAAATGTAAAGAGCGCACACAAGGGCGATCATTGTTCGCTAACGCGCAGCGCATGTGCATTTCTCGTTCACGTCTGCCAGGATGAGCAGCGTTTGTATTATCAGTTCTTTGGCACGGGCGCAACGCATCTAACGTGAGTTCAACTAGCAATAATAATTCAATTCACTCACTTGAATATGCATTTTCTTGTCTGCAGCGTTTATTTGGAGGGTTTGTGCACCATTCTCTATGATACCTTGCGTCCTTTTATTATCCACATCAATCACTTGGAAACACTTGCAGAAATCTGCTCCATCTTGCGTATTGAAATGCTTGAGGAGCATGTGCAACAGAATCGTAAGTGATGACTGAATTTTTCTTTAATTTTTCATTGTTCTATATACACATACAGCCAGTGGACTGGAAGCCTTTGCTACCATAGCTCATCAGCTGCTGCAGGATGTGCAGGAGCGTTTGGTATTCCGTGCACATTTGTATTTGCAGTCCGATATACAAAACTATAATCCATCAACGGGTGATTTGGCCTATCCAGAAAAGCTGGAAATGATGGAGGTACGTCTTCCGAAGCTTTAACCTGTTCGATCTTTATATATTTATTACTTTATCAACAGAGCATTGCCTTGTCGTTGCAAGAGCCAGTTCAGCTGCGTCGCTCGGATTCGCGTGCCTCCATGATGTCTAGTGAAGCGGAGAGCGTGGACACCGCCTACAAAGTCAAGCAAATGAGTAAGCTCTCAATATCTCGTTAAAATCAGAGATTGACTTTGATATAATTTCTAGACTCGCCCGCTGATTTGCATGGCATGTGGTATCCAACGGTGAGACGCACATTAGTCTGCCTCTCGCGTTTGTATCGCTGCGTGGATCGTCCGATCTTCCAGGGTTTATCTCAAGAAGCACTCAAACTTTGCATACAGAGCGTGTCGCAGGCAGCGGCTAAAATCTCAGCAGCCAAAACACCGATTGACGGCGAGCTCTTTGAAATTAAACACTTGCTTATATTGCGCGAACAAATCGCCCCGTTCCGTGTGGATTTTACCATTAAGGAAACCTCGTTGGACTTTAGCAAAGTGAAGACGGCAGCCTTCGGATTGCTGCAAAAGCGTAAGCAGCTCTTCTCCATGGGCAGCAACAACGCGCTGCTTGAATTTTTGCTCGAGGGCACGCCACAGATCAAGGAGCATTTGCTAGACTCGCGCAAAGAAGTGGACCGACAACTAAAGACGGTTTGTGAGCTGTATATCAAAGATGCGGTACATATGCTTGTGGGTCCGCTCATCACATTCTTGGACAAGGCCCAGGCACTGCTGGCAACGAATTCCACAACTCCGGAGGCCACAGCGGGCAAAATCAATTATGTGCTGCGACAAAGTAGCTGGGCGAGTCCACAGCAAATCAGTAGCATTATCCAGGAGGCACAGCGTCTGATCAAGTCCAAGTTGGCGGTGCTGCAGCGTGCGATGCAGCTATATCTGAGCAATCGTGATACAGAGTTTATAATTTTTAGACCTATACGAGTAAGTCGTATGAGGATTAGAACAGGAATAAATTAACAATACCCAAATCTTCCCTTGCAGAACAACATCATTCAAGCGTTTGTGAAACTGGAGCAATTGCTGACCACAAATGGTTATTCGGCTGATGACATGATTATCACAAGCTGTCCCTCTGCCGAACAGGTTTCCATTTTACTGTCAAGTGCCAGCATTTTAGCCGCCGAAGGCGTGGCAAGCTTTGCAGCGGCAGCACGAAAGATAAGCACATCATCATCTGTGGACGGAGCCGCTACTGCTCGTAAGCTGAGCACGATATCCAACAAGGCGGAGCAATCACAAGCTGTAGTTATAGAGGAGCCGGAGGTTGAGCCAGCGGAGACAGATGCTAAGCAGAACATAGTTCCAGAACAACCAGCGAATGTTTCTGTAGAACAAGTCGTTAATGAGGAGCAAGTCACGATGACTAGCACCGATTAGTATGCAATATATATAGTCTCTATGTAACCCTAACCTTACCCTTACCTATGTATGTATTTATAAAACTAAGGCATTTCAACATGTATATTACACTTTATTCTTCCCAACTAGAGCTAATCAATCGAGCCGGTTTCTACAACCAAGTTAATCGACATTTGAAGCCGGCTCGATTTTGAATTATTTTTGCTAAGAGCAGCCTTAAGCATGCAGAGAATGTGACGAAGTCAACGTAAATTACCAACATTAAATATTAATTACAAACAATGTGAATTAGTTTATCTAGACATCTAACAAAGGGCAGCGCATATTGGCTGCTGGTCAAGTGATGGATATGTTTCCGTTGCGAATTTTGAGACTAAGATAGGAGGCATTTATCCTTTTCATTTGCTTGCTGTGGGTCGCGTCCACCCACAGTCGTAGCGCGTTGTGTAGAGACTGAGGACGTTGCTGCTCCGTTCCGGTTGGCTCCAGATGCGTCATCTTGTTCCATAATTGATAAAGCCAGAGCATGTGCCAGGGCCTCGTCCTCAGTCTAGCAAATCATTGATTTAGGTTAAATATTAATATCGAGATCTGTTCGAGTTATATTCGTACGGACTTACCATATTTCCTTGAATATTTTGTACTTGGGTGCGCTGTGCAACAGACGCAGTGGCTGCAGGCACTGGCCTGGCTTTGGTATTTGCTTGGGCTTTGCTTTGGAGTCGCCTTTCAGCTGCCTGCGCTGCCTTTGCGCGCGTATCGGAGAATATTTTGAAAACGCCTTGTGATGTGCTCGCTGAAGCAGAGTCCAAAGCTGAGGTAGTAGAGGTTGGCTTGCAGTCATGGTCGCTTGTGTGGCGATGACGTAGGCAAAAGTTTAATTTGCATTGCGAGCACTGAACTGGTATTAGCTCCTTGCGTTTGCAGCCTTTCGCATGGCACCGATTCGTGTAAATTTTTTTGCTATCCGATTTGCATTGCTTATCTATGTGCTGGCTGACCGTTATGTCAGGCTCCACGCCCGGAGCCGTGGGCACAGGCTCTCCGCACAGCGGACAGATGGGAACTTGGAAATTCTTTTTGTGGGCCCCTGGGCACTTGTGACGTTCGTAGTTATAGTGGGTGGCACAAAACACCTTGTCGCATGAGTCACACTTAACAGGCAGGAAGTCTACCATAAAAACAATTGTGTTTACATTAGTTTAATTAAAAGGCTGCTAATTCCCAATACGTCATACATACCTAATCTGTTGCATGTGGGTTCGTTGCAGTGTTGACCCAAATGTGGAAACTCCATAATTACGTACTACGTTCGTTGTTTGGTTGTTGGTAATAGAGTAAATGCTGTAGCTGGTTTGTGACTGCTTTTTATTAAAAACCTAAAATTAAGTGAAAATTCCAGAACGGGCTCGACACAATGACTACACAATATTAATACTGCGATTTCACCATTCGCTATCAACAGCGTTTATTTGCCATTCGCAATGTATCGATTGCATATGAACTTATCGTTATCGATATTGACTATCTAATTTAGCACTGACAGTTAAAAAGCAAACTTAGCTGGCACAAATATTTGGATACATACATACATATTTACAAATTTATTCATTTAAATTTTATGTAGCGTTGTCATGTTACAAAAGGATTCCAGAATATACATATACATATATATAATAACCAACAACAATGATGGGACTATTCGTTTCCCAACTCAATCACTTAATTACATTTTTGTATTTGCTTCATGCATTCATTTAATAACTGCCTTCATTGAAGTTAATTTTTGTTAATTTGTTTTATATAATACCGAATATAAATTGAGAATATTTTCGCGCTTTGCGACATGTAGACTACGCCAAACGTCTATAATAAACATTTTTTAAATTTGTATACATTTACAAAAATAAAAGCAATAGTTGCAATAATAATAATAATTACTGTGTGAGAATAAAAATAATATACTTATACGTGTGTGTGTTTGAATGCATCGGTAGTAAAAGTTCAACTTTATCTGCACGAGGAATTTAAAGAGTTAGGATATACCCAACGGCAACAGCAGCAGCAGCGGCAACTTTTAACTCCAACCCTTTCTCGATCTCCACAATTTTGGTCCCGCGCACACGCTTAAATAATTCATTAATTACATATATTCAGCTAAATGCCGCATTGCTGTTTAGTGCAACCTTTCTGAAATGCATCGCATGATTTGAATTAAAAGTTAAACGATTTCTCTGGCAAATGGAGCGAATGCTTCCCAGTAGCTGATTATCTGTGTACAATAAAATAGCATTACCTTTAGTATTAATATATAAATATATAGATTTATATCTATAAATTTACCTGTTGCTGATGAGCCATTTGAACTTCGATGTATTTTATAATGTTAGCCTTGAAGTCTTTCACTCTACTTAGCTCAAAGCGTTCCATTTCTCGCTTTATTTCGGCCGAAATATCATCGAATTGCTGCTGACAGCGTTGGACTTTCCCTTGCCACTGAGATAAATGAGATAATTCTTGTATTATACGTGTGTAAATGACATCAAATTAAATGTCAAACCTCTTCGACTTCCTGTTGGGCCTGATCTAGTTTATCAGCACGATTAGCCAGCTCAAATCGTCCACGATTCTCACGTCGCTTCGACAGCTGCATTTGAGCGTATTGCCAGTTCTGAAACGCTTTAACACGCTCATGGAAAATGCACTTAATCGCACCGAATAGACCTAAATAGTCTTTGACGAACTCGGCCAGTATATAAAAATCTGAATTTGCCTGCTCGGAGCGTAACAGTTCTATCTTTTCTTCCACATCGGCGAGATTGGAGAGCGCACGCGACAGACCTGTGTGCTCCTCACAGGTGCTCAGCATAGCTGCCGATTTAGCCACCAGGCCAGTCAGTACGGACAGCTCTCGACGTGAGGAGACGAGAGACTTTAATGCTGAAGAAAGCTTTTGCAGATTTGAATCCAAGTGCTCAACTTCGGTTATCTTGTCATCGAACCATGGATCATTCTCATCCATTTTGTACGTAATCTTGTTAACTGTTTCGCCGACTTTATTAAATAGTCGTATGACTCCAGCGCCGCTTAAAGCAGACGTATTCACCGCACGCGGCAACTCCTGGTCGCTCTCCAAGAAATTGATGAAATCCAAATCGACGCGCAGGACTGGATGTTGGGCTGTACGTTGGACGAATCGTTCTAGTGCTGCACGTCGTATCTCGATCCATTCCTGATTAATCGGTGTGCCCGGCTCAGTTTGTTGTGGACTCATTTTAACCTTGGTGCTGCCTATGATATTCTTTGATGGTGCCGGTGGTATGATGCGACCCATACGTAAATACTTGTTGACCAACAGATCATGGATACCTAAGAAATCACTAAAACGGCGCAAAGTACTAAATTCATTGCGCTTGAATTTTGGAATGTTTGTTTTCGTGGTCACCCTAAACGAATAAATTGCAGTTAAATGAGTGAAACGAGATAAGCCATGTGTGACTCACTTGTAGGCCAAATAGGAGCTCATGCCATCGCCAACCTTCTGCGGATCTGATATGACAATTTGAATGAAATAATCACCATCGTCTGTCAGCACTTCCTCTAAATTACTCGCAGAAATGCGACGCTGCTCGAATTACATACAAATAAATATATATAATTAGCTTACACTAGAGATGAACTGCACTGCGATAAGTCGCAGTCGCCTGCCTAATCGCATAGAGGGGCGTCAGCGAGACTTTCTGTGACGTTGTCACAAATCAAACAAAGCACGCGAACATTGTAAGCAGAAGATAAAACAGCTCCGACGCCGCCCTACTCGCGACCCATCAAAATTATGCTTAATTGAATAAATATTTGTTCGCTGCTTGCTTACATGCACTTCGCTCGGCGTCATTGCCGATACGAATAAATCATTTTCTTGCTCCAATGTTACGCTGCCCGGTGCTGGGACCTCCTCTTCGTCAGATGCACCGGATACTGAACCATTGTTGATGTCCACATCGGCAAATTCTCGATTGTGCTCAGGTGTTGTCGCAGTGTCGACTTCCATTGTGCAACGGCTCTCAATAAATGTTAATCAAATGCGTTGCGCTAACCGTGGCTCTAATTGTAATTATTGGAATTTTTATGTCGCCCTGCTCGATAGCCGCAAGACAATGGCTTTGACAATATTATCGATATCTGAAGTGCAGTGCAAAGCGTGACCAGCGTGTAAAAAAGCTTTGGAAAATATACCGACAGCTTAAAATACTGTAGTTTGCATGTATTTATTTGTGTTTAGTATATACAAATATATAGCTTATTAAACCTTTTGATTAGCAGAAATCCAGGATATAAACGAGGACACCTGAACATAGACAGATGGTGAATTGGCCTGTCCACATGGCATCTTGCCCCAGGATACAATGCCAATCAACACATTTCCTTGCACCAAAGGACCGCCTGAATCCGAGGTGCATATGCTAACTCCTCCAGTCAAAGGTCCCGTGCATATATTAGTACTATGCACATCCTTAGCCAAAGCTTTTTCGCAGGACGCGATGGGTATAATAGGAATATTTGCTGCCACTTGCAATACGCTGGGGTACGAAGGTGAACTTGTCTTCGAGGTGCTTCCCCAGCCATAAAGATTCGCAGTACCAGTTGGTACTACTCCGGATTTGGGAAGATTTACAGGTTGGACAGCAGAGGTCCAGGTGAATGCAGTAGGCGTATAAACCAGACCAATATCATAAGGGACCGCTCCACCCGTATACAGATCGTTGATGACAAATTTGGTAATGCTCCGTTTCTGTGTAGTTGAGGCAGTTCCTTGAACCGCATTGCTGCCAGCCACCAAAATGCTGCCAAGGACCTGGGCACGATTCATCAAACAGTGAGCAGCCGTAACCAACCAGTGAGTATTTAAGATGCTGGCAGCGCAGTAGTGAGTGCCTTGATACTGCATGGAAACCGCATAGGGAGCGCTGTTCACTGGGGCCGCAACGCCACCCACAACACGTCCATTAGGAGTCAGGTCACCCGCGGTGGATCGGACAACAGCTGCCGATATTTGGCATAAGCCAAAGAACAGGCAACAGGCAATTAAAAATAAGCTCGTGGCTTTCTGACCTTTCAGCAACATGGTTTCCGAGGAACTGTTTACATTTGTCTTTATCAAGCGCCGTTTAAATTAAAAACGAGATACGATTTAAACACAGCGTAGGTAATGATAAGAAATTTCAATTTGCGCTTTCATAAAATAGATAAGCGTTTTATTTAATTGGAAGGGTGGTAATATTAATTATTATAACTATCTAGCAGTAATAGTGAAAACAATTTATAGCCTTTTAACAAATTTAAGTGGAAATATGCCTACTTAGACTCAAGATTTAATTATTTAACTAAAAAAAAGCATGCCAAATTCAGAAATCAATAATTAATTTTAACACTGTAACAAGACAATATTAATAAATGATAACACGGAGGATATTGAGTTATTATAAATCTAAATAAACGATGCTTAAGTAAAATATCGAAAAAAGTGCAATTCAAGTAGTTTCATAGAATTTATATACATATATATATTGATAAGCAGAAGTATAGTTAGACTTAAGTCAAATATCTCAAGTGGATCGCTAACACACTTTTAATTTATTGATAAGCCTTAACAGAAAGGGTTTCAGCAACATTTGTGGAACTTTGATAACATCATCAGCAAAACAATTTTGTTTTAAAATTCTTGTCCGTTAGCGCCGCACTCTGGCAGCTTAGTATTTTGTATGCATCATGTTTTCGGTATTTTTGCGTACTCTGCATTTTTCACAACTGACTGTAAAATGAATGTATCGATATAGTATATCGATAGCCATCTCTACAACTGACTCAGATAGACTTGCTGGCTGACTTTTCTACGAAAATTTTGTTAATACTATTACGTTAATAATTGAGCTTAGTGCTAAGCATAATCAGATTAAAAAGTGCGTGTATCGATATATCTATATGCATAATATACAAAGTGCAACGTGTATAATAGAAGCCGCATAAGTAACACGCCCCAATAGCAAAACAATAGGTGGGCGAGAGAGCGAGAGTGTGTGAACGAGAGAGAGGCGAGGAGAGGTCAGCAAACTCGCAATTAAGAAAAAGTCGACACGTACAAGAGTTGAAATAGTAGAAGCAGCAGAAGCAGCTGAAACCGAAACCGAAATCAAAAACACAAATAAGTAAACATGTCATCCGGCGACTTTGGCAACCCGTTGCGCAAATTCAAATTGGTGTTCCTTGGCGAGCAGAGTGTGGGCAAAACGTCGCTGATTACACGGTTCATGTATGACAGCTTCGACAACACCTACCAGGCGACAATTGGTATTGATTTTCTATCCAAAACGATGTACCTGGAGGATCGGACAGTGCGACTGCAATTGTGG